TGAAGCACATAATATGTGCTATAACTCTCTTTTTCCTTCTTTTAACAAACTTGCCAAATAATATCCCAGATTTTTTATCATTCACTTTTGTCCTATCCAATTACAAAAATCCTTCAAAACACTTTTGATCTTCTTCACGGTGTTTAGTTTTGTTTTAGACAAAAATGATAATGTCATCCGCATAAAGAAAATGCGATATTCTTAGACCATTTAGACTAATACAAATACCAATAGACTCATTTTCCATGAAAATATTAGACATCAGCTGAGAACAGAGGATAAAGAGATAAGGCAAAAAAGGACACCTCTATCAGAATCCACTTCTAGTATTGATCCAACTAGAAGGAATTCCATTGATAAAAAAGGAGAAGGAAGGATCTTGTACACACTCCATGATTAATTTTGAAAAACAAATAGAGGGAAATCAAAATATTCTTGAGCTTTAGATAGAGTTGGTGATCCCATGGAATCATAAGCTTGTTCCATGTCTATTTTGAAAGAGACAAAACCCTTAAAGGATTTAGAGTACCTGAACTTATGAAATATCTCTTGAGCTATAAGGACATGATCTGATAGATATCTCTCTTTTAAGATTGCCACTTGCTCCTTGGAAATTAGCTTAGGAATGATACAAGTCAATCTGTTCAACAAGACCTTAGTAGCAAGTTTGTAGACAGTATTGCATAAGCTAATTGGTTTGTAATTGGAAGGAATCATAGGATTACTCACTTTAGGAATCAACACTATAAGGGTTTTTTTTCCAATCATCACACATTTCAGCTGTAGAGAAGAATTGTTGTAAAGCCTTCCAAAAATCATCCTTAATAATTGCCCAATAAGTTTTAATAAAAGAATATGAGATGTCATCATATCCTGGAGCAATATACCCACCAGTTTCCTTGATCACAATTTCCACTTCTTCTAATGAGAAGCCTTTGCTCAATAATTTGACATCTTCTTCTTCCAAATAGTTCCAAGGTTCCGGCCACCCTTCAAGCAAGAAGTTTCTTTTTCACGCCATTTCCCTTTGAAGAATTGAAGAAGAGCCTCTTCTATCTTTTGCTAGTCTTCCACTATACTTCCATTTTCATCTTTAATAATGAAAATAAAGTTTGAATTCCTCCTTGCATTAACAAATGATTGAAAAAATATGGAATTACAATCTCCCTCTACCGTCCACTTTACCATTGCCCGTTGCCTCCACCAAGTGCTTAGGCGAGCCAAAGTAGAATTCAACTCATCAACCTTTGATTTGAGAACTCAAATCTTTTTAGCTGAGAGATGACCAAAATTTTATTCTTTAGTTTGGAGCTCTAAAATCTCCCTTTTAAGGGCTTCCTTATACTAATTTAAGCTTTTCAACTTGGCCCTACTCCAATAAAATAACGACTTCAAAGCTCTATTCATCTTGTAGTTGTGAATTTGAGAGTAGCTTCCAAAAATTTTCTTGTTCCAAGCATTTCTCACCACTACAGCTGAAGTCGGGAAAGAGGCCCATGTCTTCGAAATTGATAGATATTTTCATCTTAGGATAGGTTTCAAAATGATTTAACAGAATGGGGGAATGATCTGAGGCCACTCTTGGAAGGTGTCTAACCACCATACAGTTAGAAAAATTAATGGCCATCGAGTTCACAAAACATTTGTCCAACCTTTCAAGAGTTTGATCTGAACCTGATTTATTATTACAAAATGTAAACTTTAGACTAACATATCAAATCTCATGGAGGTCATTCCAAGCAATGAATGAATTCATTTCACCCAATGAAAATGTAAACCTTATACCACCCCTCTTGTCCTCTTTAGAAAGTAGACAGCTGAAATCTCCACCTATCACCATAGGGAAATCAATACTAGAATATGCTTCCAATTTATCCGAAAGCATCCTTCTTCTATAAACATCTTTACTACCATAAATGGTTGCTACCCTCCATCTACCTTTATTAGGAATATCCAACTCCCCAACTATAAATTGAGAACAATAATTCAACACATTAAATGAAGCAAACTGATTTTTCTAAATCACTAGTATACCTCCAAACAATCCTTCTAATGGGACATGAAAATAATCCCATCCAACTCCAATCAAAGAGAAAACTACCTTGCTGGCAATAGAGGAAAACTTGGTCTCAAACAACCCCACAAAAAAGACAATATAATCCTTCACAACCTCCTTAAGATATAGAGAAGCTTTCTTTTTCCTAGCTCCTCTACAATTCAAAAAAACTATATATTCCATTATTGGATTAGAGGGGAAGAGTTCCCCAATTTCTCTCTTAGATCCCCATCCATACTTCTACTTCTAGTGACGATTTTAATTGGTCCCAACCCTTTCAATTGTTTAACACCTTTCTTCTTGATGTTAGAAGAAGATCCTTCAATAATTTTCAACTCATCATTTATCATAGTAACCATTTCCACTTTGTCATCATAATATTTTGTTTCCTTTCTAACAGAATTTCCAGGTGATGATTTCACATCAACAATCTCCCCTTCCTCAACATCAGTATTTAACACATCAAATTTGTTAGTGTTATTTAAAATACCAAGAGATTTTAGAGCGATACCATTCTTATATCCCTCAACCAATTGATTCTTCAAGTTTTCTTGGATTCTAACTTTATTTAAGAACTTCATACCACATGTATCTTCATTATTTGTTCCCATACTTTTATTTTGTATTTTTTAATCTCCTATTTCATTCATATTCACCTCAATAGTAAGTTTAATACTAGTATCCTCTTGTTCTTTAATGTTGTATCATTAATGGTTTTCACAGAAACATCTTTAGCAGCTACACTAGAAATCTTCTCCACAATAGTGATAATGGAGCTCCCAACCTCTATAACGGTATTTTCCTTCAATGTATGTGCTCCATTTATTCTGAAGCTAGAGTTAATAAACCTTTTCTTTCCATAATTCACATGGACCCATGGTCCATAACCTTCTCTATTGACCTCAACAACTTTAGAATTTGTCTTCATAGTAACCACATTCTTCTCCCTGTTTTATACTTCAGATTTCAACTTCTCAGCTTGGTTTTCACTATGATCAGAAATTTTGATAGCTTCTATTTCACTTCTTAAACACCTTCTTTTTAAATGTCCTATCTTTCCACAATTGAAACAAAAAGTAGGTAACCTTTCATACTCAATATTTGGGTAAAATTTGCCCAAGTTGCCTTCAACCCACACTCCCAAAGGTAATTTTTTATCAAGCTTAACACGAACACAAATTCTTGTGAATTCTCTTTTTCCCCATTGAAACATGTTTCCATCAATTAGATAAGGAGTTCCCACCATGGATGGAATTCTACACACATTGATGTCATCCCAACATTATAAAGGGATATTTGGCATCTGAATCCATATAGGTGAAGTCAAGCTTTTGAGTGATGTAGGTGAGAATGATGGAGACCATCTCTCCATTCTGACGATGTTTCTATTAACATACCAAGCTCCGCTGGTTAAGACCTTCTCCATAGCTTTAAGTTCATTGAATGCATAAAGTACCCATCCCATTCCAAGTAAAGTCAAGTGAAACTAGCTAAAGAAGCTCCATTTTCTTCTCAGCTCTGTACTTATGATGTGGAAAGGAATGTTATCTCCAAAGATCTAGATTTTCCGGGATTTATGAAGTTTATTTGAATTAGATAATTCATTTCCTGAATACAGCTTCACTATTAAATTATTTTTAATAAAATCTTCACCAAAGTTTAAATCAACCACTTTTATGTTAAATTTTTTACTCCATGCAATATTCTAAAGCTAAAAAAGGATTGATTGGTGGCTATCAAAGTTGATATGGAACAGGCCTATGACAGCATGTGTTGGTCTACATTGGAAAAAGTAATGGATCATCAAATATGATAGAGATTGTACAATACGATGTTTTTAATCAATCTTAATTAAGTGATATGCCCTTATTAGGGTTTTCTATTTTAACTAATCATCTAGTATGATATAAATCATACTATATGATTTGTTCAAAAAATAAAAAATTTTCAAACTCACTATTGGTGGAATTTTGAAAAACATGTTTTGAAAAATATTAGTTTTCTTTGGGAGTTTTAAAATTGAGATTGAACTCTAATTCTAGAAGTCGAATCAACTCGTTCGGAAAAGTATATCACCCCGAAGGACGAAAAAAAAATTCCATAACGGCGTTCAGACTTAGAATCATGAAATTCATCTTGAATGCCATGGCTAGATTTTAAAGAGAACTCCACACGGCCCCGAGGGGACGAGGTAGAGTTCAACTGAATAATCCATTTATAATATTCAAGGAGTATGATTGCCGAATTCATATCCAAAGCCTTATCAAAGAAGGATGTATCTCCCTAAAGGGAGATAACACCTTTCAATGATAATTCTTCTAATATGATAACGACAATCATTTTTTATTTTTGTGTGTTGT